GATTATCTCTGCTGGGCTTTCTTCCAGCATATGAAAATGAGTTTAAATGAGTGTCCACCACTGGCCTCTCTTTGGGTTGATGTCATGCACATTAGCTATATATTATGTGTCTATTTAGTAAGCTATGGTGCCCAGGTATTTGATCAAATGCTAATCTAGATATGGGCAAGCCTCATCCAATCAATTGGATTGAAGAGTAGAAAATCTTGAGTGTTTTTTGGAGAGGAAGAAGGAATTTTGCTTCAAGATTGTAACAGAAATTCTGCTAGAGTTTCCAGTCTGCTTAACGGATTTCAGCTTTCTCATCCCTCCACAATTATAACAAACTAATTCCTTAAAATAAATATTGTAATATAACTATACCTTATACATCATCTATATTTCCCTTTGTACCACTGCTTTCTACAATGTGTGTATGTGTGTGTGTATCATACCTGTGACAGCCATTGTCTTTATTTAGTGCCAGTCATAAGCAGGCATTGTCCCTTATCAGCCTAGTGGTATAGTGGAGAGTGGCTTTGAATTGAATGATCACAATGGTAAGTGTCAAGCTATTCCTGCAATGAATATTCCCTAGGGGAGGCACAATGTACCGGGAGAGGCACATGAGTGGTTTGGGTCCAGATAGACCAAGAAGTGACAGTTGAGGTGATATGAGGATAAACATTCATGCAGAGGGAACAGGCCATGCAGAGGCCGTGATGGCCTGTGCTCTGGCAACAGAACTGTGGGGATTGTGGAACTGAGAATGAGCACAGTAGATGTCTGTGATGGAGAAATATAAGGGGTCTGGTGCATGACAGGGGCTGATGCTGGTCTGCGTCCCACAGCTGCCATAGAGAAGAGAGCGGGCAGCAGGTTGGAGGGAAAGTAGCTGCTGAGTGGTTCAGAGAGCCACAGCAGTGACCCAACAAGCAACAAGGTTAGCCAGAATGCTAGCAGTGTTTGGCAGATGGAGAAGGTGGATAAGGCTGAGAAGTTGTTAGTGATACAGCATGGAATTGCCTCAGGGTTGGCCTGGATATGAGAATGAGGTGAGGATGAAGGCAGGGATGGTCTTGTAGCTTCTGGCGTAGGTGGTGGAGTCCCTGTTTTATACCAACTGTCTTATTTACTTTTCTATCATTGCTGAGATAAAATATCTGACACCCAGAATTAAAGAAGGAAAGGTTTATTTAGCTTACAGTTTGTGGAGGTTTCAGTTCATACTTGGCTGGTTCCAAGACAGGGTGGCACATGGCAAAGGGCAACGGTTCATGGTGGTAGAAAACAGCAAAAGCAGAGCAAGAGCAAAAAGGGAGGAGGAGTAGCATAAGCCTTTTTCCATTCCTATACTATATGCAATCTACCCACCCCAAAGTGAGTGTAGCACTCACACCCATAATCCCAGCATTGGATCATGAATTAATCACAAACTCTAGAAGCCTGACCCTTGACTGCATGGGGCTTTAAGGGGACATCTAGACATAAACCATAACGTTCTGTGCCTGGCCCCCCAAAGATTTATGTACATCCCTTTATGTAAAAGCCATCTGAGTTCTTCTCTAAAAGTTGCCAAAATCCTAACAGTTTCAATATTGCTGAAAAGTCCAAGTTCCAAGGCTCCTTGATGATATAAAGCAAACTCTTAGCTGTGAGCCCCTGTACAAATGAAAAGTTAAATACTTCCAACATTCAATGGCACAAGATAAACATTACCATTCCAAAAGGTACAAACAAGGGGATACAAAGTATTGGAACAAAAGCAAGTCCAAAATCCATCACGGCAGACATTAAGTCCTGTAGTTTCACGTTCAACATCTGAGGCAATCTGTGGCAAATGGTGAGCTCCATCTGGCCCCACATCTATGGCACTTCTGGTATTTGTAGCTCCCATGGCTTCTCTCTTGGGCCTTCCTTGCTCCCTCCTTAAAGCTTTCCTTAGACAATCCCTGTTCCTGGTTTTTCCAAACTTCTGGGTCCTCCACTGCACCTTTTGCTTCATACTCACAGCTTCATATACTACCCTCTCAGGGACACACTGCCTGACATCCCAAGCCTCCTGAAATTGAGGTGGAAGCCTTTTTAACCTCAGCATGTTTGCATTGTGCATGCACCTAAAACCAGCACTATGAGGACAGTGTCAAGGTCTGCTGCCAGATGGAGCAGTAAGCCAGGCTTCCCTTACTCTTGGTGGTAAGCATCAAGTACTTGGATTGATGGGCACTCTGAATCCAATTTTGAGGAACAAATTTGCTATGCTACTGCCATACTGGCACATGGCTTTATATGGCTTTCTGCTCAAAGCAAAGTCTTTCACTTTTGCAGGTTTGAGGCTGAAAAGAGTGGAGACTTTCAGCTTCTTATGATGCCCTCAGGCCATCTTTTATATTCTCCCATTCCTCCTCAGCAGCCAATATCTCTCCTGCTCTATCGTTTTTGTTTTTGTTTTTTTTTTTCATTTGTATATTTGGTATAGGGTCTCACTATGCAGATTGGACTCATGGTGATCCTCCTGTTTTCAGCCTCCCCAGTGCTGGGATTATAGGTGTGCACCACCATGAGTGGACTCTATCGCTGGGTCAGTGCACCCTGGGGGTAGGGCTGGCATGGCATGAAGGACTAGGGATCAAACCCTGGTCCCTGCACTTGCCAAAGCAGACACTTTGTCCACTGAGCTATCTCACTGGCCCTCCGCCTGCTCTATCTTTATAGTCTACACCTTTACTGGAGCTTCCTTTCTGGCCGAACTCACAACATTTTAAATCATCCTGCTGGGATATTTGCTCTTGATTCTCAAAATAAAGCTTTCTAAAAGCAGCCAACAATAGTCATGCTACTATCCCTGGCAAACACAAGGGCCTGAGTTCAATTCCCGGTTCCACCAAAAAGACAAATAAATAAATAAATAAATAAATAAAAATAGTCATGCTATTGCTTCAACATTTGACTGCCTTAAAATTTCTTCTGCCAGATTAATCAATCTACAGCCCTTAATCTCAGTCAAAGGCAAAGTCTCTGGACATGAGCAAAATGCAGACAAATTTTTTGCCAAGCCATATCATCTATCATCTGGAGTCTAGCACACAGTGTAGTCCTTCCTAGCAGAAACTTCCCAAGTCTTTACCAGCAGGATTTCTATCAGTTTTCTGAGATCTGACCACAATCTCCCATACAGAACAGTCTAAGACATTCCAACGCTTCTCTTT